AAGGCTCCAACACCGCAATTGGCTAACCGACTGCACACATTTCCTATTTACCCACCTGTGGCCAATGCAACCTCACACCAGACTCCCAATCAACCACATTATAGTCCCTCGTACTCGGGAATTGCCCACTCTCGAAATGCATCCTGGTCAAAGGTCTCGGTGACGAGTACGACGCCAGCACAGGATCCCGATCCCTTTAATCCTGAATCGGATGAGACCTTCTATGATGATGGTGATGATTTCACAACCACAACAGTGAGACGGGGTTTGGTGCCACCACCTTTTGATCACAAGTTCTATAGCCCGCAGTCTCAGATTCCAAGCTTGAGCCAAGGCTCTGATCCCAACTCCCAAACGGCCATCAAAGAGGCTCTTAAACTTATGCTGCGTCCCTATTTCAATCATAGTGGCAATGCCCAAGAGAAACTAACCAAGCAGGCTGAGTCAGCCATAGTATCTGTGATTAGTAAACCTCCAACCACACCAAAAACAAAAACAACAACAACTTCGACGACTTCTAGAATAGACCTCGACTCTGACGCCGAACTTATTAAGGCGGGTGAACAGGAAAGCCTGGACGCCGTTGACGACGACTATGTTTTTCCAGATGCCGGGGAGACGTCCCGAACCGAGCAGACCCTAAATCCTAGTACAACGTACGCCTCGACAGACTTTCAACGGAGTACCCGCAAAGCGGAATTCGACTCGAACCCAACCACAACCACAATGAAAAACAATTGGCTTGCGTCTGGACACAGTCGTGACTACCACCAGCGTCATCCAAATTTGCCCGATCCGTTCTCCGAGCACCATCCCAATCCCTCTCCTCATAACCACCAACACCAACACCACCATCACCACCAAAACCACCGCCAACCCCATGAACACAAACACCACGAGCATAGTGCCGACTTCCATCGTCGTCATCCGGAACTGCCCAATCCATTCCCACAAAAGGATGAAACCGACCAGCAGGCGGAACAAGAAGATGACTGGGAGCTACTGGTCAATCCCAATGCTGAGGAAGTGACTCCCAAACTAAGTGTCCGTTCGAATTTCGACAGTCAATGCGACTTCGATTGCGGTGATGGCAAATGCCTGAAGAAGGAGCAGGTCTGCAATGGCCAGAAAAACTGCGATAACGGCAGGGACGAGGCCAACTGCCCGCCATTGGACTACGAGGTGCGTTTGACAGGAGGCGAAAGCCCTCACATGGGCCGCATTGAAGTAAAGGGTGAGTGGGTCTTGAAAATATTAATTCGTAACTATTCTTAATCCCATATCTTGATCCACCTCCAGCTAATGGGCAATGGGGCTATGTGTGCGATGACAAGTTCGGCCTCAAGGATGCCGATGTTGTGTGCCGAGAACTGGGCTTTAAAATGGGTGCTCAAGCGGTCCGTGGAAGCTCTATTTATGCTCCCCCCGACCAGGACTTCAATTATCTGATGGATGAGCTCGAATGTCATGGCAACGAAACAAAGCTGAGCGAATGCCCCTTCAAGGGGTGGGGCATCCACAACTGCGGAGTTGATGAGGTGGCTGGCGTCATCTGCAAAGTTCCGGTGATGAAGTGCCCTAATAACTACTGGCTATGCCACACCTCCAAGGAGTGCATCCCACCCGCCTTTGTGTGCGACAATACTGAAGACTGTGCGGATAAGTCAGACGAATGCGCTGCCGTCTGTCAGGTGGGTTAATTAAAATATTTCATATTTCTTGGGAATATGGGGAACGGAGAATTTCGCTTTTTTCGTTGTGCATAGATTCCCACTACAATTATAGTGATTGTCTTTCATTTGTCAAAGTCATTTGAGACATTAATTATTATTCCCTAAGTTGTTTTTGGATTTTTAAAAATTGATTTTCAAACGTTTTTCGTTAGGCTCCCATTCAGTACCGTTTGGAAGGAGGACGCAATTCCAACGAAGGCCGCCTGGAGGTGAAATACCATGGCGCTTGGGGCAGTGTATGCGATGATGATTTCAACCAGAAGTCCGCTCAAGTGGCTTGCAATTCCATGGGTTTCTACGGGCCAGCGGTATTAAAAAATCACTTATCTGCAGAATATTTAATCATAGTATTTTTTTTTAAACCCCAGAAAATCGAGAAGAACATCTTTGGGATTGGCAATGGACCCATTTGGCTTGACCAGGTGATGTGCTTCGGCAACGAAACCAGCCTCGACAAGTGCAGCCACTGGAACTGGGGTGACCACAATTGTAACCACACAGAGGATGTGGCACTGCATTGCAGCGCTGGACCGCCACCTCGCAATGAGAAGTTGTCCCAAAGCCAACTCAAAGGTGGAAGGCAACTTGGGCAGGATAGCTCCTCACCTGCGAGAAGCTACTCACAGATTGGCCTGTGGGAACGATCTAGCAAAGCCCTGCATACTCCACGTCGTTGTGGAATCTTCAAGGACGACCTCACGGATGAGTATGCGCATCGAGAGGAGCGCGTGGTCAGGGGAAAAGTGGCCCAGCGGGGTCGTCATCCCTGGCAGGCCACCATAAGAATCAGAGGACGTGCTGGCATCTCCAGTCATTGGTGTGGCGCGGTGGTGATTTCCAAGCGCCATCTTCTCACCGCTGCTCACTGTCTGTATGGAAGTCCAAAGGGAGCTTACTTCGTTCGCGTCGGAGATCACTATGCGAATATAGCCGAGAACTCCGAGGTGGATACGTTCATAGAGAACTGGTACACGCACGAGGACTTCCGCAAGGGAACCCATATGAATAACGATATAGCCCTGGTTGTGTTGAAGAGTCCTCTGAAGTTTAGTGACTACGTCCAGCCCATTTGTTTGCCTGACAAAAAGGCAGAGCTCGTTGAGAATCGTAAATGCACCATTTCCGGCTGGGGTTCCATTAAAGCGGGAGTGTCTAGTAAGTGGCTTACTTCTTGGTAATTCATTCAAATTCTATATATTGCTATATTATATTATTCTTTAGCTCCTGCGCAAGTCTTGGGATCCGCTGAGCTTCCCATTTTAGCTGATAACGTCTGCAAGCAATCAAATGTGTATGGATCGGCCATGTCGGAAGGTGTGTACTAAGCTAATATGATCAATCAACAGTTCAATAGTCCTATTGTATTCGTAAATCTAGTTTGTGCAGGAAATAACCCCTAAACTCTACTTTATTTCAGGAATGTTCTGTGCTGGCTCCATGGATGAGAGTGTGGATGCCTGCGAAGGTGACTCAGGCGGTCCACTTGTTTGTTCCGACGACGGTATGAATAGCATTTATTTGTTCGGAGACAAAAACTATATTTGTTTCAATTTATATTTTCTAGATGGCGAGACATTGTATGGCCTTATTTCGTGGGGTCAGCATTGCGGCTATAAGAACAGGCCGGGTGTCTATGTCCGTGTCAATCACTACATCGATTGGATCTACGAGAAAATTAATGAGAGCTTGCTACGCTTTTAAGGACAAACATTTTCCAAGCCCTTTAATATCTACCTTGTTACATGACTATTATTTCTTAAGAATTTTGTAGTGAGCTTACTAATAAAGCAGATCATTTAGAAAATGTTTCAATATAGAGAAGTTTCGATGTTATAAACATTTAAATGTTTACCTACGATTAAATATTTGAAATCTTAACATAATTTATTTAGCTGTGTGAATTTACATCTACCCATTAGCGACTGCAAACCAGTACTCTTCATTTGTTTACTCACACAGAAAAATGAATTAAATCCATAATCAATGCTAATAAAATGCACAACAACAATGAAGCTTTAGTCGGAGATACAAAAACATACTCACAACAAACTACATACATCGACGACAATGATTTAATTCACAAGTCTGCATGGGTTGTTTGACTCATCCCCCATTCAGAGTGCTTTACTGGATTCACTCGGTTCTCACCGAGTTTTCCTCCTGGCTGCTCCGTTCCACTTTTTGGGTCAACCGTCAACGACGGTCCGTCCGTAGGAGCGGAACACGCACTCAATTGACACCAGACACCAGAGCGGTCAAAGGGGAGCACCCGGCGGATTGGGGAAGGGGTCGGAGCTGTTTACTCGCACAGATCGCATTGTGCGGGCGTTGCACGCGCGATTGGATGACCGGCATGGAAAGCGCTACAATTAACTTAATTAATACAACAATTTGCCAGCGTACACTGAGAAAAATTGGAAATTATAATACGAAAGAACTAATCAATTGCTAAAATTGGTTTACAAAAACACCCTTCTTAAGTTAACAAACAACAATTAAATACTTGAAAAATTATGATATTTTAGTTTCAAATATCTTTTTATATGCTCGTGTAAGTTGTATTTCAAATTTTCCAAACAAAATGTTTAATAAAAAATTGATTTTCATTTTTGCAGTTTTTTGTTTTTAATTGAACCCACAAATTTATTTAAAGCTTGTACAATATTAAATCTACAATAAATACGTATAATGCATATCAAACAAATAGGACCCATTTAAAGTCCCATATTTTCCTCATCATTTCAAATATTTTATTGTTAAATTTTTTAAATATTTAAAATACAATTTTTGATTTAATAGCCAAAAATTAGTTTTTACAGTTTCATTTTTTTATCACATGAAAATTAAAAATGGTATTCGCTCGGACTTAAAGTAAACAACTTAAAACCAAGTAAACAAAAAGTTCTGGGGACATTTTGAGAAAATTTCCGAAACTCTTGACGTCGACCATTTATGAAAAACAGCAGCATTTATTTAGAATGGATAGTTGAAAAGACAACAATAATAATTGTCCTTTTTTAATATATATTTTTTTAATTTTAAACTGCTTTCTTTTTGGTTTATATGCCTAGAATCTTGTTTAAAAAAAAATGAATAAATTCTGAAAATTATATATAGAACTAAAATTTTTTTTCTGTGTGGTCAACAAGCCTGTGTGTTTTTTAATTCAGCTTTTTTTGAGCGAAAGAGTAAACTCGGGCGGTTCCTCGGGGTAACTCTCTCTCTGAGTGCGATTTACGGACGGAACTCAGCTCAACACGTTGGGATTCTTTGTCAGTTGATTGTGAGATTTCATCTGGAACAGATCGCATTCAGTGGCTTATCAGTAGAAAATAGAAGTCTGCCTCATAATGTTCATCAATTCCTTGGTTTGCTTGGCGATCTTCGGCCTCTTTTGCGGCCAGATTGCAGGCACCGCAGCCGATCAGTACGGGACATATGGAGGATCGGCCATTTCCACCACGGAACGGATCAACTCGGAATTGCGCTGCATGAACATCAATCCGCAGAATTCGGTGGACTTGGAACAGGTGAAAGGGAATCCAGATCAAAAGTTGTCTTTTAGAGTCAGGGATTATCAGCCTCAACCAGTGTAAATATAGGCTCATTTGAATACGAAGAACTCATTGCAGGCTAATGCAATTATCGTCGATTTGTTCTAATTAACCCTTTGCGCCCAAAGTGCGCCCAATGTCAATGCTGTAGCTCCCAGCCCATGGTTATTTATTTTTCCATTGTGGGCATTTAATTGAACGCACAGCGAGTGGCATGCAAATCGCACAAATGACCCCCATTCGCTTTTATTTGAGTGTGTAATAATGCCCAGCCTCTCTGCATATACAGATAATGGGTCTGTGGTACGGCAGCGAGATTATTGTGCACAGCCAAGACTTTCCGGGAACCTACGAGTACGACTCATGTGTGATTATCCATCTTGCCGATGTCACAGAACAGGTGAGCTCCTCAAGTTGATTAGTTTCTAGATCTTGTTCTCAAGCTATTTTGCCTATTTTTGCTGTTTCAGATTCGACACAGCCAGGCCAGTCGCGGCTATGGCTATGGATCCCAGGATTACGACCGGAATCAGAACAACTATGGACGAACAACCACCACTCAATCCTCATACGTGGATAGCGATGAGTACCACATGAGATCTGCTCATCGCGGCCAGCAGAAGTATCTGCGGTTGGTGTGGAGCGAGAGGGACAACAATTTGGAGTATACCTTCAACTACACAACCACTGAACCTGGTCGATGGTCCAACATTGGCGACCAGCGGGGATCCTTGGTCGCTCTAAACACTTACACCCAGTTCACTGGCACCGTCCAGGTGGTAAAAGCTGTCAACGATCACCTGGTGCTCACATTCTGCGGCAATGATGTGAAGAGCTCTATATACACCGTGGTGCTCACCCGCAATCGCATGGGCCTTGGTTCTGATGTGAGTAATTAAATTAATATTGAGGTTTTTTTATGGTAAATTATATTTCGCTAATTATGTAGAAACATAAGCATTTAATTGCTAAATGTTTTCACGTTAAATATGCTATTTTGCGAAAAACATTTGTTGTTAACCGGCAAAATGTTGAAACTTAACTTAAAAAAAAATTGTGATTTTGTTTGTTGTTTTTTTTCTTTTAAATATAATTTAATCATTTAATTATTATTTGTCAATAACTACGTAAACAATAGCTTTTCTAACGACAACGTCATACGACAATAAGTATTGATATGTTTGTAAAAAAAATATTTACTAAAAAGTATGACTGATAATGTAAATGTAAGCGTAATGAGAGGTTTTTAAAGGTTACTTTGTTTATAAAATTGCATATAAACAGCACTGAGAAAAAAATGGAAAAGCACAAATAAATATGTGACTTAAATTAAATATGAAATTATAATATTAAATACAATGCATATTAAATTACGTGATTTAATATTAAAAATTTTAAGTAAAATTTAAAATATTAGATTTAAAATCAAATCCGAAAATAGTCAAATGAAATATTTAACAATTTTTTAATATTTTCATATTTAAAATAGCTAAAAACCGCAACAGAAGAAAATCAAAAAGAAAAGATTAAAATTTAATACAAAATATTTGGATTTACTACGTTTTTTTTGATCAGTGTAGTAATAGATAAGAATCGTTAATCATTTTTCTAATTGTTTACTGTCTCCTTTTGCCACTTTTTAGGAGCTGCGTAGCATCCGGAACCTGCTTTCCCGCCGTGGGCTCTACACGGAGACCATTCGCAAGGTTTGCAATGGATGTGGCCAACTGGGCGGCAGCCTCTTTGCTCTATTCGCCGTTTTACTGGTCGTCCGCTTGACCGGGGGGCGTGGCCAGTGATCAGTCATCAGCCGGCGTATTTAATGAGTCCAGCCATATTACGTTAATTTATGTATAAATTACTTAAGCATTACAGAAGCGAGATCGCCAAGTGCACTCCCCGAAAACTAACTCGCATTGCTTCCGTTTTAATTGCTCGTCATGTCAATTAAAGTCAATTACGCCGAAGACAGGGCTGACTTAAGTGGGCAACAGCCGTTGGCTAGTCGTAGGCGTTAAGTGTTTGCTTAATTCAATTAGCAGGGATCTCCACCCGCTCATCGGAATTTTGGCCGGAACAAATTCGGTTGCTACCCTAAAAAGATATTTTCACTATCACTCTCTCTCTCTCTGTGTGGATCGCCAGACCCCAAAAGTAGGCAACAAAAGAGTACTGCCAAAATTTGTACATACAAATCACTCATACGCCTCGTTGACACAGTCACACACATCCAACGCCAATGCCACTGGGCTCTCTGATTACGTTGTTAACATTTCATTTTTTACACTATCAGCACTTACCAAAAAACGCGCTTGTGGTTTCTTATCAGACCTAGGCAACTGGGATCTGCGAATTGCCATATTCAGGGATTTTTGTTCGGAATCAAAAAGAGTTCAGACCCCCAGCAATTGAAGCTATAAAGCCTGGTCAAGTGCCTTTAAATTTCACACGATTTCGTTAAGATCTCGCCTGTATAAGTCCAAAAGTCTGGCGAGTTTTTTGACTTATTTTCTGTTGTTTTTTTCTTTGTTGATAAGATTTGTATTTGGCATAAATAGGAACAAGCTCGCTCTGTTATCAGGCCAAAAAAGCCTAGCAGAAATTGTAAAAAGTCTGGACACACTCGTAAAAAAGAAAACAAAGCATCCAAGTCTGCGTGGAAAAGTTTTGGCAGCAAAATATTCCCAATGATCGCGATGATTAATTTCCTGTCAGCCGGCATGCATTGGTTTTTTAAGCACTACCAGAAAACGTGCCAGGGCTAGATTAGGGCTAGATTGCTCAGCCCCCGCTGAGTCTGAATCGCACTTGAACTTGGAGTGCGATCATAGGTTATTGTTGATTTTTGTTATTGTTTATTTCCCGATTTTTCACCCGCACACTTTCTGCTGGATTTTACAACGCCTGATTGCAGTCATAGACTGTGTGCCAGCTTGACGTTTTGTTTTGAAAATAATAATTCACAGGCAGCCGCCGACTCACGAACTGATAAGAACGCGGCGCACACGTAGAGTGCTCATGATAGTAAGTATTATAGAAGTTCTTCTGTGGGGCAGATGGAGCATATCTTAGACCCCGGTCCAACTGCATAATCAGCAGGGCAGGATGTGTCTAAAATAGGTTAATGTGACCTCTGCCATGGCAGACATGCGCCTGCTGAATTTCTGATGAAAATGTGTCATTTACAGATGAACCTCTCCAGCACGGAACCCATGACCTACACAACACACAGTTTTCACTTCCAGATAATTTTAGACAGCAAATAGAATTATCAAATTCGCCTAGCCAAAAACTGATAACTCAGAGATGTCCAAAGTGCATTTTAAAACGTTGGGTGTACCTTTTAAAGTTTCCAACTTACTTTATAAAATTAAATATATTGATTCTAAGAACGAGACAAATATTTAACCTTTTTAATAACCTTTTTTTAAGTATAAAAAAATATTCTTGGGCTAAATATGTTATTTATATATTTACAAAAGTTTAGCGACATTTTACTTGCTTATATCTTTTTTTTTACAAAATCCCGGTATATCGACTAAAGTTTTAAAAATAGGTCAGTTTGAGTGGCAGATGTTGGACTGTACAAACTCTTACTGATGATTTACGTCATCGCTTGAGGGATACATATTTAATTTTGCAATATTGGCACAGCTGTAGAGATCAGCCTTTGGACTTTGGACTGCACTTGGGAAGCACGCTGAAGGCAATTTCTCCTTTTTGGTTACGGATACAAGTCTAGACGCTTATCCAAGGAGTGTAAACATAACCATTTGAATCGAAAAGCAACAAACTTCAGCTGAAAGTGCGTCGCATTTCGCATTGCATTCACTTGCATGGCGTGCAAATAATGGCCTGGTCGTAAGCTAATCAATTATCAACCCTTTTGAGCAACACCTGATAAGCCCCAACTACTTGGAAGATAATGACCATACATACGCCAGAACAAACTGCTGATAAGGCATCGCTATAAATACTGGATGCGGAGCGAAGTGAGGCCACAGAAACGAATCGAGCGCGCCAATGATCGGACGGATCCAGTAAAAAATTCCAAAATATAGAGCCAAAACTCTATAGAAAAAGCAACCCAACTGTGATACCAAACGAACACACACAAGACAAGATGTCTGCTGCTAATAAAGTGAACCACTTGATCGGCGCCACTACGCGTTACATTGCCGGACGGAATGCTGTGCAGACGGTCTACTGGCGTACCTCCGCCGGACCCAATCCCCGGATGTTGAAGACCAACAAGTTGCAGAACTTCGATCGCAGCCAGAAGGCGCCACAGAGTGTTCGGCTGCAGAACACCAACCGCAGCTTCTTTCGGGATTAATGGAGAATTTTTCATAGTTTTAGTTCCGACCTTGACATGTTCCTAATGTCGCGATAGACATAATTTTTTTGTGCACTTTGTATTTATTATGTAGATTATTTCCGAAGGCGATAAACCTTATCGTGCGAATTAGAGTTAATCGAATCTAAATGAAGCCGGCGCTACGACTTTTCATGTACCTTGGCATTAAAAAAAAAAAACCACAACGATTAAATAAATGCATTCTAGCGCGTAGATAAGAGAATAATATTTGTCGTTTTTCTTGATCGAAGTCTGGCAGGGGTCTGCTAAATGCGTCATCACTCCCAAAGGCAATGACATAAATGCCATTTCCATCGAATGATCCGTGTTTTGTGTGTATCCGTGTTTTACTACTTGTATATCAAAAAGCCCGTGCGTTCCTTCGGTTTATTCCTTTTTTAAGATTTTATTTATTTAGTTTTATATTTATTACATACATTGAGTTCTCGTATATATATAATTTTTTTTTGCTTTTATGTTTATGCTTTACTTTCTTTGTTGTATGTAATTATTTTATATAATTTTTTCATTTAGTTTTATAATTTCGTTTTTAGATATCGTTTTTACTTATGTTTTATAGTATATTCTCGCGATTTTTTTTCGGTTTTAGTTAATTTAATTTGCTTTGTGGGTGAAATATGTTGACGTTAAATTTTTTTTTGTTTCATTTTTGCGTCTTGTTATGTTTATCGGGTTGATCTTTACTTAAAATTACAGCCTTTATAAATAATTATTTTTTTATGCTATTCATCATTTTTTTTAGCTTTTCCTTTTTTCTCGAATTTTTTGTTTTCTTATATGTTTTGCTTTATACTTTTTATTTCGCTTGCCGTTGTACTACGTATTCATTTTTCTTTCGTTATAATTTTACTAAATATATATAGAGACTTTTTCCTTTCCGCATCGTATTTTGATGGATCTGAATAATTTGCACACATGTATGTATATAATATATATGTATATATATAATATAATTGTTATCTAAATATATACTCATATAGACCTCATATATATTAATTCATATTTGACAATTTCAGTTGGGCTTAGTGTCTGGCTTTGCTTTTGTAGTGTAGTGTAGTTCTGGTTTTCGTCTTTTTCGTTCTTTCATTTTTTTTTTAGTTGCACACGGAAGATTTACACACATGAATAAAAACCGAAAAAATACACACAAAATTTGTGCATTTCCTTAACTAGCTTTGGTTTCCATTTTGATACTTTTTGGAATATGTTATGTTATTTTATTACTTCATTTATTTTTTGCCTAACTCAATTCACATCAAAACAGTTTTCGTTTGGTTTATCTCAAAAGAGAAAAATATATATTAATTATTATCTTTGTATTTTACTTTTATTCAATCCATTTTCCATTTGGTTTTTGATTAAAAAATATTGCAGCTCAAAATTGTAATACTTTGGTTTTTCAACATTACATATTTAATTTACTTTACTTATGTCCTCCCTAAAGCATAGAACACAGTAGAGATCAGTTGGGTTTCCTCTTGCTACTGCTGCTAACCCTACTCCACACTCCTTTCATGCCCTCTGAAATCTCCCGTCTCCATGCTGATATCATTTCCTAAGTGGGCTGCAATTGCTTGATCTGTAATTTCTCTGGGTTTCCCGGGCGTGACTATATTTGTGTCGTCTGATGTACGTATTTCCATGACTCTACTTTTATGCTGCTCAGTATAGTATATGTATTTTAGACTCTTATGTACGGTAAATTGTTTGCTAGAAATGTGTTTTCTTTTACGGAAGAATTTGGATACATTTTCTTAGTTCCACTTGATTTTAGCTAAAAGTATAATTTGTCTAGTGTTTTCTTTACTCTTCAGCTAATCTTTGCTATGTAATTTTCTGGTAATCCTATCTCTCGGTTTATACCACATTCATTGGGCGCTTTAATTGGCTTAACATAGGTGTATCGGTATCTGTATCGCGGCGTCGGTATCCTTCTCTACAAGTGTATTTAATTATCCTGCATCGGCTTCAGCACAGATTCTCACAATGTGCAGCATGCACTTCGATTTAATTTTAATAATTCTATATATTTCGCAACAGAATTTCGGCTTTTTTTTTGGTTGGATTCGGGGAAAAATAAACTGAGTGGAACGGGCTTAATGGACAGTTTTGTCAGCAGAAGGCAATAAACGAAATTCTGTGCAAATATTTGTGGAAACAAGGTCGACTAAAAAATCTACCAAAAGGAAGTCCAAGAGAATTGCGTAAAATTCACAATTTTTGTAAATTCTTCATTTAGTTTTTTCTATTTTGGGTATCGGTTTACTTCGATTCTCCCTCGTGACTAAAAATACTCAACAATTTCGTTTATATGAAACCATTTTAGCTACAATTTATATTTGTTGTATATATGGTTAAATATTTCCTACGCATTCGCTTTCAACATTGATAGAAAAACCGCTTTGTTTTGCTCTTGTTGTCGTTTTGCTTTTCACCATTTGCCATGTTTTGCCTCTACATTGAGATCTCGCACTTGAAATTGCTCTGTATATGTTAGAAATCGTAATTTAAAAAATTCTTTTGCTGACAACAATGATCCAAAACAGATTTTTTTGTAATGCGGGTATGACGGTGGCTAAGGACCCAACGGATCACTAAATACAACAATAATCCAAACACATCTGGGTGCTAATTGCACCTCGGATCGCGAACTACTTAATGCACCTATGTGTGGTTAAGGTTAATCCTTGATAAATCTAAAAGAGTTCGTTGCACGTTTATTGTATTTATAGGCTCGCCCGATCCAGGGAGACCTTCCCTTAGCGGTTATTTTACTCTGCGAAATAATGATCTACCAAAACTCATATTTCGTGTCTTTCGGATGATGGGACTTTTCAATTTTTTTATACAATATTCATCACATTTTCTTGTGGGGTTTTTCTTTTTTGCCTAGTTCTGGTTGCTAATTAATGTATTTATTATTGCTGCGCCGTTACTTTGTTAGTTACTAATGTAAGTACAATATCATAAAAATAAAAATAACACTGTATATTTTGTTATTTACCATTAATTTCATTTCGCTTCTTTTAATTGTTCATAAATTATTACTTTGTATTTTATTGTAAATATAAATATATATAATATATATCTCAGGTTTTCCATTTATTAAGTACAATATAATATAACCATATACAAAGCGGCACCCCATCAAGCCTCCATCCTGCATCCTTCATGAGCCTCTTGACCTCTGACCTCCACTTACTCCGTGTGTGGCATTTGAAAAATTCGTAAACGGTTAGTACACTTTTAATATTCATAGTTATTTTTTAGCGTCAGTCTTGTGTAAATTAAATTTTACTTCAAAAAACGTTTTAACGCGCACACACGGAGCACAGTGAAGCCTCGAAGCATGAACGCCCACTGGGCAGGGTTTTTCTGCTGCTCTCTCTTGAATCCACTTTTCCGCTTTCCCCGGCCCGCTTCTTGTTATAAAAAATTGCTGCTCGACTTTACATTTACATATATATATTAATAAAATGTATATAATATATGCGTGTATACACATATAAGGTTTATTCAATTCACACGTAGACGTTTGTTAAAAAATGCATTTTTCTTATGTAAAAATGTTCGGCTTTTCCACTGCTTATCTGCTCGTTTCGTAAATATTATAATTTGGTATCTGATTACCACTTTTTCTGTGTTGAGACGCCATCGAGATATTGTTCTTGTACGTTTTCATATATGTATTTATATTCGCATATACTAACCATCGCCTAAAGTGTATGTGTTTGTATACCCCGTATAGATTATAATTACTTTGGTTGATCGCATTCGGGAAGATTAAAGTTTACACACGGTAGTGAGAGATAGGATTTTAAGACGAGCGAGCTTAGCAAACCAATCGTAATTGAACTACATTTAGATTTTAGATAAGTTTAGTCCTAATAAACTGCCGCCTTTCTCTGTACTTTTTTGGTTTTTCACTTTGAGATTAGAGCTAATTTGACACAACCGTTTAATTCAACTATTTTATCATATCGTCTGCCTAACGATTCGCTTTTTAACTGCCATTGCTACTGAAAGATTCGTTGCATTTTGTATTTCGCAGTACCTGGAAAGTATGCTACACTTAATCAGGAGGAACTGAAAAAGAAATAAAAATAAAAACAAACATATGATAAAAACAGAGATTAGTTTTTGTTTCGGGCATTTTTTTTATTATCTTTTTAGGAATGACATTCGGCAATGTGAATCTAAATCTGAAGATGAACACTTTAAGCATAATTTGGAAGAATAATGCCTATATACACAGTAACTAAACGAATTTTGGTAATACATTAGGTTCGAAAAGTCACGAAAGAACAAAGATTAAAGATGAAACTGGAAAAATTTTGAAAAGTTAACTGAGCCAAAGTGCTCAATGGAACGCTACAGCGATCGAAAATATTATTGATCGGAACACCCAAAAAAAGGGGGACAGTACCCGAAACATTATGCTTGTCCAAGGCCCATTTGTCAAAAGGTTTGCTTGAGGGGCAGGAGCTCGGATCGGGGCGATTTAGCTTCCGGGTTTCGGTTGGTATGACAGTGCAGTGTTATCACTGGGAGCTTCCCGTTGGGGTTCCCGATTTTGAAGAAGTTTGGATTTTGCTTCGGTTCGGCTGTGTGTTCACATGTGATGGGAAACGACGTTGAAGGTGTTGTTGCGTTGCCCCCGGTTGCTAATCTGGTCCCTTTCCTATACTCTCTCTCTCACTGTTTGCCCACACACCCGCGGGCTGACCAAAAACGAAAAAACTTTGAAACAAAACATAACGAAAAACGAATGGAACAATCTCAACTTAAAAACAAGTAACGAGGACCCCGATGGGGTGGTAAGCGTGAAGGTTTTTGGGGTGGTGGGGTAAGTTTCGAAATTAAAAAACAAAATAACTAGAAAACATGGGCTTTTGTGCGGCGCCGCCATCGTCGTCTGGATCCCACTTTCTATCGATAATATGGGTTCGGTTTGTATACGCTGCAAAACTTTTCTTAGGACCGCCCTTCCTTTAGTACGCCATCTTCTTTTTGCGCTTCTCCAACACGTTGCTCTATAATTTATAATTTCCCCTGGAGAATTCGGCCTTCTGTCTTGAGTTTCTTGTGTAACACCCTCTGCTATACCCGCCGACGATCCTGGATCATGTAGCTATACCCTGGGCATAGTGTCCTTCAGATCGTCAATACTCCAGCATGGGGTTTGTGGATGCGACTGCGCGTGCGTTTGATGTGGATTCGCCGACGGCGAGTGCAGCATTGGTGAATGGTTTTCTGTATAAAATATTTATATATATATGGTGCCCTGAATTACAAATCGGAGAGGGAAAAGGAAATAGGGGGTGGAGTAATGGGGTAAACGCAGTAAAAGCCAAATTTAAAAACCAACCGAAAAAGCGAAGAGGGGAAAATCAAATAAAGGCAAAACAAATATTTTGCTACTCATATTTTCTTCATCTCGTTATTTTTGTGTTTTGCATTTTGCTAAAATTATTAAGTAGCTGTTGCTTTATTGTTATTGCTATTTATGCGTTCTTTTCTTCTTTCTCATTTCTATATTAATAGGTAGTATAGTGTGTGTAGGTGTGTATGTGGTTAAATATGCTTCGTTTTTGTTTACTTTTTGTGATGATCATGGGGCATTATCCTCGTAATATGCACGTATATATAATTATACAAATTAGACTCCATAGAAGTAGAAGGTGATCTCCCTTCTGGCCCGGCGCCTTTTCAGCGTTATCGCCTATCTCTTGTATATTATGTAATTGCTGAATTCATTTAGGTAGGTAGGTACTTAGTCTAAAAACATTTTGTGCTCTTAGTTGAGCTGCACTTAATCAGTTGATGTTCCTTCATTAAAATATATATTATTCTTTGCGCTATGATATATATGTATTGTATATATATATAATTTTTCACTTTCCTTTTACTTTTGTCTAATTACTATTCCATTTTTGTTGGTTTGTTTGTTACTTGCCATTTGTTCATTTAATATATGTATATATAATATAAATATTCACTATATATAAACTAAATAGATTTTTACGATGGGACAATCTGCGCTCTGCTCTTTGCTGCTGTTCAGTAAAAACTTAAGAACTTCTTCGTTTCGCTCTCCTTCATTCAAGTCGTACAATAAATTGAGTTTACAAACATTTTACTCTTTTGTTTTGGTTTTTGTTTTGTTTGTTTTGTCAGCAAAAATGTTCATTCATTCTTTAATTAATTAATCGTTATGATTTTAATTATGCCTTGGCATTATCTTTATAATGTATATATGTATATATCTGTATAATATATTTAATATTGTTTTAAACCTAAACAATTTATTTATGAATTTTCGCTTTCAAAATATCACGTATATACTTAAGTTATGCCTTGGATTTATTAGTTATGATCTGATCTCTATCTGATTAGTCTGCGGAAGATAAAATTGCTGGGATGGCTGGATAAAAGAGTGAATCAAACTCATTTCAAAATTAGGCAATGTCCCTCAAATTTGTCCCTCACTTTCCTCCCAGCAATTTGGATTCTCTGGGAGTAGTAGTATTCAAACCCCAGAACTCGAATCCGTGCTTTCGAACTAAATAAAATCCCTATTGACTGACATACATGTAAGTACTCTTGGTTGGTGGTTTCTATGTTGCTTCTTCGACTTGATTTCAGTTTTAGTTTTTAACTAGAGCATGCCTAAGTGAATTATTGCTTTCCATTTCATTACATTTTGTGTTGCTTCGTTTCAACAAAGAGTGATTTCTAATTATTGTTACAATTCGATTTAAAAATGTTTTGTATTTAACTATTTAACAATTTAGTAAAAATTTGTCAACAACTTCTCTGCGAAGTCCATTTGCGGAGGCAGCGAGTCACAAATTTGATGGGGGTGGGGGCGACCTCGGCGACATCTGTTTTAGCAGGTATTTTTGAAACCTCTGGGTTGGTTTATTACGTTCGTCACAATACGTTAACAGTATTAAGTGGGCAAATAATTTTGTTTCGTTCAATAAGGCATATACGTATATGTAAATATTTATTTCGAATTTTCCGTTAAGGTATTCATTTCAGCCAAATTATGCACCAATTTTGAATGGATTTCGCTCGCAGGTCGCCGGCTGCCCCCGCAAATGTTTGGCCATCGCGTTTTGTATTACTTTAAATAATTTTGGTTAACACATCTCGCTTTTCTCGTTCGTGTTTTTGATTAGTTTGATGCCATCATCATAACAATAGATACAACAGAATCTTAAGTGAGTGTAGAAAAACAGAAATGATAAATCAACATTTTCGCAGAGTTCGTCTTTGCTTGGTTTTTCTTGTACATTACATTAGTTTATTAAATTTATTATATTATTTTACGTTTGCTTGCTTTTCGTATATATTTAACTATATTCTTGTGTAACACACACCTATGAGTGTCTATGTATTGCTTGAGTTTTACCTATTTTCCTTGTCGCTAGAGCTTTGAGTTTAGCTTTCCTTTAATAGTCACTCTAATATATGCCTCCCGTATATACTGGCCGGGAGTTATGTGTATGTTTTTCGCATTTTTTTTAGCTAGCATATTTTGAATATCTTTATTGTATTTTTGTTTTTTTTTTTCTTTTTGTATTTAGTTCACTTTTTGCTTGTCTTATGTGGCTAGATTTTATGTTTTTACTTTTTACTCCTTTTAGTATTTTTGTTTAGACTAAAATTTCGTTCAGTTTTCTTTTGCTTGGCTTACAAGTTAGGTTTTTCCTTCTCAACGAGTTCTGATCGGAGAGTTAAGGAAATTTTTATAAATTATCCTTGACTTTCTGCTCAGGAGTCGTGGGTGGTGTGCGTGTGTGTGTGTGTAATTCTGTGATTTAGTATGTGTGTTTGCTTTGCTGCTTGACTTTGTCGTCTCCTTTGCTTATTCATCTTTTTGCTTTGTATTGCTGTATGTGTCTGTGTAGGACAGTTACAGTTACGAGTTACAGTTACTTTACGCTTTATATGTATTGTATATATGTATATAAATTAATTTATGCATAATATTATGTCTTTAATCTTCGATCGCTGCCCTGCTTTCTTAGCTACCATATATAGTATATGTGTGTTATGCAATTTACTTAGTTATTCCCTATATAGTATATTTAAATATATATATAAGTGTGTGTCCTGTTGTCCTGCATGCATGTGTGTGTGTGTTGTTTAGAGTGAGTGTGCTCTCTTCACATTTGCTTTCTCTGTTTAATCCAGTTGTGTGTGTATTTAGCACAATGTTTCCTATATAGTATAGTTTAAATATGGTTTTAAGTTCTCTCCGTCTGCCTCTACATATATATTTTTCTGTCTTTCACTTGCTGACTTACCACACACACACACACACTGCAGTTTTGTCAACGTTCCCTATGGTTATAGCCCCCTCCCTCCCCCAAATACCATATCCCCTCCCCCCCGCTCCACCGCTAATTGCACATCATAAATGTTTCCTCTACCAAAATGTTATTCCCCATCACCCATACTAGCACATCGCAACATCTCTAATAACATAAGCAGCTTACTTTACAGCATTTTGCAATGGTTTCCTTGCGTATGTGTGTGTGTGTGTGCCGGTGTGCTTGTGTGGGTGAGTGTCCTTCCAAAGCTTCTACCTTCAATTTACGATTTCCTTTGACTAAACATTTCCGAAATTGCAGCTGTGGTGCGTTTTTGTGTGTGTGAGTTTATATAAATTCTATTTATGCTTTTTAGTTTACTTTTGTTGCTGTGGTTGTTGTTGTTGTTGTGGCTTTTTGTTGTTGTAGTAGTAGTAGTAGCATCACTATTGTTGCTGTTGCTGTTGCTGCATCCTCAAAGTTAACATGGATAAATTCCTACAAAATAATCGAAAAAATTGGCGAAAAACTTCATATATCTAGGAATTTGAATTTATATGGTTTTATATCGGTATTTTTTATATATATTTATATAAGCAAAAAGTGATTGGTGCCGACTACTACTATTTACATTCATTCTCTGCTATTTACAGCAAGCAAAACCGAAAAAAAAGGAAAATCAATCGAAAGAAATAGAAGATTAAAAAAAAAAAAATGTAGTATTTCCCTCGCTATGGCATTCAACTAATTTACATTACATGTACATATTTTTAGTGTGTGTGGCCAAAAATAAAGCTCCAAACTTAGCATAAATTAAATTAAATCATAGGCATTTTAACATAATCGTAATTAACTAAAATTATAAACTAAGAGTGCGGCTGCTGCTGCAGTTCGATCAGAGTTGAGGGGCATATATAGCATATAGCATGGTATTGTTGTTATAGTTGTTGTTGTTGTTGTTGTTGTTGTTGTTATAGTTGTTGTTGTTGTTGTTGTTGTCGCAGATAGTTGTAGTTCTAGTTATCGTTGCAGTTGTAGTTGTAGTTTTAGTTGTTGGTATGGTTTATTATTCAGGGCAGCTCTCAACGAAAAATTGGCGACTACGAAAATTTGTTTATTTTATGTTTCTTTTTTTGGATTTAACCTATTTTGTGGTGGTTGATTTTTGGTGGTTGTTGTAGTTGGTGGTGGTGGTGCGCCAAGAATAAATGAAAGAAAAGAAAGCAAATACCGATATGTGTAGGCTACGACAAACGACAAAACGACCAGCGAGAGATTCTAAATACTTGAGACTCACCTTGGTAATTCTGAGGCCAAATGGTGGGTACATTCTGCAAAAGAATATTAAAATTCATTAATAAAAAAAAATATTTTTTTAATTCACAGTTGGGGTCAGAATAAAAGCTTTGATAATTTGATGTTTTTTATTGAGTTGATTGTACGTATTGGTTTTATAAATATTATATATATTAATTTTATATTTTATAATTATTTAATATTAAACTGCTATTCAATACTACAATATATAATTAATATTTGGTATATTTTTAATATATATATTTAGGTCCTTTGTTCTAAACTAAGCAAATCGGCATTTTTGTAATTGCAACCCGGACTGGCTTTAAAATGATGCCAAAATATAATCATTATCTGCAGGGCTATTATTCTGACCTTATCTATATTGTTTGTAATCGCACTCACCATTGGCACACTGTAGTACTGATAGAATGGCTGATATTGCATGGCTGAAGGTGGGTAGATGGCTGGCACTCCAGCGGCTGTAAAGTCAGTAACTAGGTTTGGTTAATTGTTTCCCAATTGATGGTGGTGGTGGTGTTTTTTTGGTTGTAGTTGTTGTGTTGATGAAGTGTTTTCGAATAGAGAGAGAGAGAGTAATGAAATACAAAGAAAAGAAAAACAAATGTCAATAAAACCAAGTGAAACTCAGAGAAACGATGAAGACCCATTAACGCAGAGATTAATACATAAATATATATATCTATATATATTTATATATCTCACCTGGCGGATATACAGCGGCTGCGAACTGATCCATGGGTATATTGCTAATCGGTGCCGGCGGCGTGGTGGTATAGTAGACAGCTCCGTTCGTGGCCACAATCGATTGCAGAGGATTCGGCTGGTTTTGAATAATGTTCTCAGTTATTTGAAAATTATTTTAAAAAGCCAAGTCTACTCACCTGCTTCTTGATGGCCGGTGCAATGTTTAGTTTGCGATCTCGTAGTACCACGCACTCACCCTGTTTTTCGACCAGACAGAGATGGAAGAGAGAGACAGAGGGAGAAAGCATAAATAAATGGGCATTAATATATATCCTTTGCATTATCAACACACAAGCCGAACGAAGAAATTCAAATTCAAATCGAACGCAGCAGCATCAAAAATTCTCAAAAAATAGTTAAAAATTAATGCGCAACGCTTTTTGGTTTTTGTTTTATTTTGTGTCTTTTTTTAATCTTCTGTTCATTTTTTGCTTTTTATGGCACGGCCATGGCTAAGAGAGAGAGAAACACGTGCCAAGGCAAAATACCATTACCAAAGTTATATATATATATAATATTTAGGTGTAAATGTTTATACTGTGGGGTGTGTTGTGTGTGTGTGTGTTTTAAATTAAGTAAGGTTTATTACAAAATGTCATGTACATATGTTGCATAAATAGATCTGCGCTTCTTTTTTTTTCGCTGTGAGTTTTAATTTGGCTTCAAAAGCAAATCCAATCGCCAACTTATTGTTCTCTTTGTTTCGTAATTTTAATTTTCAATTTGCGCGGCACCAAATTCAACAACATGTTTATTTTAATCAACAAACATAAACACAAAAATTAATTAACCAGAATAATAAACTCATTTAAAAGTGTAAAAAACTGAAAAGGCACAAAAGCATTTAAAGAACAGAATTCAATTTAGAAAATAAAGCTTGCTTTCTGTTTCGTTTCTTCTCTCGTCTCGTGTTCGTTACTGATAATAATACAAATAATAAAATCAATACAAAAAACAAACAATGTAAAACCAATTAGAAAAACTTAAATATATAAAACCAACACCAAGTAAAAAATATGTAACTTTAAATAAAGTAAATCTGTAGTCACAAAAGAATACCAGAAAAATTATCTGAGAAAGGGGCTGTTTAATACCTTGTATATAAACCTCTTTTACTAAGCCCTTTCAACAAGTTCCTTTTTGCTCGAAGTAATCCCATTTTAAAAATGCATTTCGCCTCTCTTCGACCCAATAAATCAGCCAATTTACATTTAATACCTTTTCCTCCGGCCAAACTACTAACGCAGATAGACAGCCTCCGACAGGCTGGCCAGTTCATCTTCATCTTTAATTGCCAATTAGTCCCGGCTGATACCCTTGTGATTTGCGCTTGAGATGCACGAAAAGGACACCGCTCCACAAAGAGATAAGCCCAGACTCCTTGAGGGAGTCGGGGAGTGGCGGTTGAGTGGTGACCCCTCTTGGCAGCGGTAATAACCATTAACCTAAGCAAATGTTTGCCAGCCAAGGAGATGCGCTACTTTGTCGTTAAAAATAAAAAAAATAAATAAATAAAAATGTGGAAAATGAAATGAAAAGAAAAGCGAGGCACGGAAAACCTGAGCGCCGCCACCGCGTATCCTTTCTGACCGCCGCTGGGCAAACATTCTTTTCATTTATGTTCGAGTTGGCCGCCCTCGAGCCATCGTCCTCGGCCAGCGACATAAGGATAAGGGCCGTAACAAAGGGCCAAACGGTTGAGAAAGTAAACTAAAGATGAAACGTATGGCAAGGAGCTGCCGCTGGAAGGGCCTGAAAGCCCGGAATCCCCACCACCATTCTTAACCACTTCTTGTCTTGACTGAATTTAATTAAGAATCCTTTTGCTGGCTGGCTTTTACCGTGGTAGCCTTTTGTTTCAGCACACAAAAAGGACAACAAAACCGTACCACTCTCCACTCGAAAATGATTTAAAATTGAAGAGTCTGCTCCTTGGAGGAGTAGGCAAATCTCATACATTCGAAATGTGCGTTTCGAGTTCATTTTACGGACCCAAATTTGCTCTAATCTATATGTATTTGTGTTGCGTAATTATGCATGTATGAGGTGACAGTGAGTTGGAGTTGGGGGATTAGTTTGCCATCATATAACATATACACAAAAATTAGTATACGCAGTGGTGGGATACTGGATTTAGTGGACTGATGTGATATATACTCGAATATATGGTTTTGGATTGTGGTCCCCGAACACTACAAAAGGCGCCCAAGTCGCCTCTTTTTGCTGGATTCTGTGTGGTTTTTGATGAGTTCGTGGTCGAAAAACTAGAACTAAATGGTAAACTTTACTAAATGAAATTTAATTAGTGTAATGTGTGTTGTCTCCTCTGTTGTGGGGTGGTGTGTGTAAATTATAAAACTTGGTTAAACGTTGCCACGACTTGTTTTTATTGTTGTTGATGTTCCTGCTGCGGATTCTGATGCTGTTGCTGCTGTTGTTGGTGTTATTGTTGTTGTGTGCCCGTTTCAGCTTTTGCCTTTTGCATAGAGTGTGGTCGTTGTTATCCTTGTTCTGCCGGCGGGCATTATGCTTTCTGCTCTCCCTTTGCATTCACAAGGACACTCGTGTCCCAGACTCAGGCAGCAGCAATAGCAGCCGCAGCAGCAGCAGCAGCAGCAGCAACAACAAGAGGTTGAACAACAACCAGAACGACAACAATGCATATTAATGACGAGCGGCAAAAGTTTTTCACTTAATATGCCACAGAGCTGAGCTCGACGGAAGCTTCAGCCTCTGAACAGCATCGTCAGAATAGAGGGTAAAAAGTAAATGGGAAATTTCCCTGAAATGGGTAAAAGTTGCATCACTCAGGCGGCCAGTGCTTATGCAATAATTATAATCAATTAGTATGCCAAAACAAAATATGGCAGACAAGTTCATTTTGTAATGAGCCACCTGGAGGCTGAACTTTTTATGGACCGAAATGAACCCAGCCCAGATCTTGACTCAATATAGTCAGGAAACAAGTAACAACGGCTACACGGGGAAAACCAATTCATTTAACAATAATTCTGAATTTAAAAAAAAGTTGTATTTGCATAGTAACATATACACACATTAATCATGTGTAATTTCTGTGAAAATCAAATTTAAAACCTTACTTCATATATAAGATATAACACGCTTAAAAAGTATAACTTATTTACTTTAATAATAGTTTTCCCAGTGTAGTTTTCTACAGGTTAAAAACAGAGCGTGGGTTGCCCTGGGGAGCAGGTGATTGGACTGCTAACTTTGGGGTGAGAGATATATAAATGTTCCCTAGGAACTTTTACGGCGCGCACTTACTTGCTGGGGGTTGGAATTGGATTATTATTAATATTACTGCTGCTGTTGGTTCGTTAATTATTCCGCAATTGGAAAAATGTGCAATACACAATCGATTGGTAATCAGCAAATTAGGCAAAAACGGAAAAGATGTGCCAACAATGCAACTTTACACGAAAATGTAACTCAAAACGGAACTCAAGACTGGATCAAACGAATTAAGGCAACAAGGCAACGCACTAAGGTATTGTCTATATAGTCTAGTCTATAAAGTCTATGGAGACCGCGTTCCAATAACGGAGCCAAAAGAGCAAAAATTCGCTAATTGTTTAATTGATTGCATAAAATGAGCATTAAAAACGGTGCAACGAACTCAACATTGTTTGCATTTGCATTTGATATTGGTTTTGGTTTTTTTTTTTGTTTTTGTTTTGGTTTTAGCTTAACGCTTAACGGGCAAACTTCGATATATCAATAGGTTTTATACGTGTGGGTGTGGGATCAAAGAAATATAGAAGGAAAAGTAAGGCTGCCTACGCTTGGGAAAGAGAGTAGTAATGTGGGTTATATAACTGGGTGAGTATGGTGTGTTTTGTAAATATATATGTGTGTGTGTGTATGTTTTTTTTTTTGTTTCTGGCAATGAAACGATATAACGAACGCAACGGAATCGAATGTAACGTAACGGAATGGCAACGCAACGTAAATGTAACGTAACTCGGAAACGTAAACTCAACAAAAACGCAATAAGAAGAAATTTATAAAAGAACAAAGTGCCGTCCGTACCTAAGGCGGTACATCTGATCATCATATATCATATATCATATATCGCACAATGGCGACAATCATATGAGGTATTTCTTATGTGGGACCCCCCCGCGGGGAGTGTTGGTAGTAGTAGTAGTAGTAGTAGTAGTAGTGGTATCAGTAGTAGGAGGAACCGACGTCTCATATCAGTAGTACTTGTGTGTGATGGGTCAGGTAATGCCCTAAAAGATCGGAGCACAATTTTAAGTTGTGTTGGATATGCTGCAGTGTGATTTGTTTATATCTTTTCTTTATGACGCGACAATCGAAAATGCTCTATATAAGAGGTGTATAAGGTTCGTTCGTTCAATCGTTTGTAGGTGGTTGGTTGGTTGGTTGGTTGGTTGGTTGGTTGATGATGTTCACGCTCGCTTCTTTGGAATCGAAATCATAATACTGGCATTTCTTAATTTTTGTTGGTAAACGTTCAACAGGCGACATTAGCAACAGGTCAAAGGAGTGGTACTTACATCCGCTTGCAGTCTTTGCGCCTCCTGCTCCGTTTCGAATGTGACGAATCCGTAGCCCTTGCTCACGCCTGCCCGATCCACGATGATCTTGGTGCTCTTCACAGTGCCGTAGGCACTGAAGACGCGGGTCAGATCGGCTTCGGTGGTATCGCCGCTATGTGGAGTAAATAGGGATTAGTTTGGTTTACTCAACAGACTTTTATAAAAATTATTTAAAAATACACACTCAAAATATAGAAGAAAAAGGGATTAGTTTGGTCTAAAAAGTTCGAAACAGAACCAATTTCTTCGAACATATTGGTAATATTTCCAATACAAAAGGTATTTTGAAACATTCGAGTCTTAACCTTTTATATGAAATGGCACGAACACCGATTTTTTTTTTAGATATATCATACATACATTAAATAACACAATTTTTCCCTGCTTTTCTGTTCTGATTTTAAACAATTTTATTTTAAAATTTTAAAATAAAGGGTATGGCTTTTTCGAGTTAATGGAATATTGCAAATATGCTATATGCATGTAAAGGGCTTATGTTATCAAAACATAACAAAAGCAAACATATTTTAGTTTAAGGCCAAACATAGTTATGAAAAGTCATTGATTAATGTAATTTGCTTTTTAAGAAAAGTGAGTAAAAAACAAAGACGATGGAATATGAACCCTCAGGATCAGTGCTCACCTGATGCCGCCCACAAAGATGCGGTTGGGTATTAATGTGCCGTATTTGGGCGCCGCCAGGGGCGTCTCCAGTCCTCCACCGGGCGCTGCCGATGGAGGTGGCGCTGACGCGATTTTGTGCATCTCTGCGGGTGTCGTCTCCAGACGAAAGTTGGGGGCTCCGAAGGGCAGAATCTTGAGGCTGTTGCTGGAGATTGGGGGTGCGCGCTGGCCAAAAACTTCTACTCGCTGCCGTTCGTTGGATCGAGCGGCTCCGCTTTGTTGGCGACTTTTTGTTTCGGAGGTTGGATCGTATCGAATCGGATCGGATCTGATCGGTTCGGATGGCGATTATGCGGCGGCTGGAACTCTCAAATTGGCTTTCACTGTTTTAGTTGTAGCACGCATGTATACAGTTTGATGTGCTGCCTGGCGGATTCTCGAAATCTAGAAAAGGCAAGAATAAGTTGAGCTCATTAATAAACCATTAAAATAATCAGCCACATGGTCAGCACAGCGAAAAGAGACGAAGGAGAGCGCAGAGCATTTGAATCTCGGAAAAAAAGCAAAGAATTGCCCCCTACATTTCGAAACAAATCTATTTCTGGCACAGCCGACATATGTCACACGAGGAAAACTCAGCGCAGGCACGCTCACAGATACGCACCCATACACAGCCAGGAAAAACTAGAGGTAGTCGGGCACCATGTGTGCACCATAAATTCACCTTCAGAAGCGGCGGCGAGACAACTAAATAGCACAGAGAGTTTAATTTTAACAGCAGCAACGGCACAGCAGCAGCAACATCACAGCCGCAGCAGCAACAATAAACTTGCCTTGTCCACAACACGGTTTGAATAAGTTTTTGGGCCACACGAGCGGCAGATGCACACAGAACAATTTCATATTAACTTCTTATGGCCCCTAAAATTTGTTCAATATTTTTTTAAGCCGATGTTGTATTAAGTACACCACAAAGGGCCGATACAAATAAAAATAATGTAGATATACATGTTTATTGATCTTAAAAAAAATGTTACTTTAATGTCTTATTATACCACCAAAGGCAAATGCAAATGTTAAAAAAATTAAGTAGATATGCATATTTGTTTTACTCGAATAAATGTAATTTAATTTTTACCTACAAACTCCAAAAAATTCATAATTAATTAATTAATTTCTTAAAAAAGGCACACAATTGTCAGCCAAATGGTTTTCAGTGTATATAATAATTATACGTGTTGCTATGAACTGCAAATGCCCATTATAATTCCGATCGAGGAAACTCCAACATGCACTAATTTGAGTTCGAGTCTAATACATTCGCAGCCTTCGTCAAACATTTCATTTTGATGTGTGTATAGATGGGTGGGTTTATAGGTGATGTTTGCATGTTCTGGGCCTCGCATGTTTGTTGGCTACCCCCGCCAGCACTTAACGATCCATATTCCTATGCAAGCAGCAAGCAACAAGCAGCGAGTAGGTATGTAGATATCCCTGGTCGTATCGGCATTTCTATCTGTTTTTGAGTGTAGTATCCGTATCTGGCTCATCGATGATGGGCGACGCGCTCCATTGCCCGCTGCTGGTCGCTTATCATTGGGCATTTATCTGAACGCTCCGCCCACCGCCCCCCGGTCAACTGACAACTGGCCGGCGGTCCGGCGGTACGGCAATCGAACAATCCGAACGTGTACGGGCGGACTCGATTGGCGGACACACATAGCAATGAAAACATAATTAAATTTTCATTAACAATGAAAATGTCAAAATTGTTTGCGTTCGCGGCAAAGTTGCGCTATGCCAGGCATTTCAATTATACGTCGGCAGTCCGATCGATTTAAAGATATATGTAGGTATGCATTCATACACAGAAAGTCGGATGCACGTATGAGATATCTATTTAATGGACTGTGTGGGAAAGTTGTCGGCAACACGTGATTATATGGCTCCGTTTCGAACCATTTTCGGTATCTTAAACAAATAAATTACCAAAATATAAGTGCTCGTATAAATCAAGGCAATAAATAATCATAGGCGCAATTTAAACTTAATCCGTACATATGCATAAATGCGAAGCTAAATAACACGTATATCTTCCGCTCATTAAAACGCGTCACAATTCCAAAAAAATAATTGAAAATATTTTTAGAAACGAGAAAAACAAAATCAAGTGACGTTGGCAAAAAGGAATAGGAGGAGTATATATCTGCTGTTCCGTCTGCCGAATACAGATATATATGCTAAATTGGCTGGGCCCAGCGGAAAATTGTGAAAAAATAAAAGCTTTGCCATAGATTTTCTAGGCTTCTCGAGCGGATGTGGCCAGCATAAAGTGGGCGAGGCGATAGCTGATTTTCCGATGGCTAAGTGCCCCTGACATGATTCATGATGAGCTGAGATGGGCGGAGGGCGGCTGCTCATGATTTATGTGCGCCTCTTAATTATTTACAATATTATGAAATTATTTTTGAGAACTTTATTCCTGGGCATTAGCAAAATTGATGATGGGAGGATAGTAAAACGGCGACAAAGAGAGAATACCGAGTAGAGCCAGCAGCTGAATTATTAAAATGTTCATTACTCGGCCATGGCAACTACGGAAAAGCGACAGCAACACGAGCAGCAGCAGCAGCAGCAGCAGCAGCAGCAGCAGCAGCCAGCAGCAGCAACAACTGAGGTCATCCGGAAAATCACGGAGTCAGGTCCGGAGTGGAGCTACTGTTCGCAGCATGACAACGCCAGCGATATCAATGGAATTTAATCAACAGCAGCCCGTTCAAAACTCTCACACAATCCCCACCCACCCACACATCCATCCATCCGTCCACCCACATCGCTGTCAGTTAGTCAGCCAGTCAGTCAGTCAGTCAGTCATTGAGGTGCTCGTTCTCGTACTCAACAATATTGCAAAATTCCACGTGCGAAAATTGCACGAGTAATGCCAATGGAAACGGGAACCATCAAAGAATTTTATATTGCCAAAAGAGTGAAAGAGTTTGTGCCACAGATACGACTGTGTGGCGATTATGGCGAGATATGATCTGACTGAAAATGTTATATCCCTAGGGGACTAATGTATAATTACGAAATGTTGTGAAAACCACAGCAATGAAAACTGCAGAGGCATTGCTGGATAATTTTTACATAATGAAGAGCTTTAAACTTTATCCCACATAAAGTTGATAAAAGAAAAATAAACAAGCCTCAAGGATTTACAAACATAGAGCACAGATTTTCAGCAAAAAAAAATAAAGGAAAAAAATGGGCAAATATAAACCACAAACAGATTGTTTAACAAACGAAGTTTTTTTATTAAAAACAAGTCAATATCTATTTTAAAGAGAAAAGGGGCTTGAAAAGAAAGTAGTAAAAATAAACAGAAATAATACATAATATTGAAAAGATTTAAGATGTATTTTTAATCAGTACTTGCATAAAAGAAAACAAAATCCTGACAAGATAAAAAACCAATCGGAAGTTACCAAGGATGATTCATTCCCCCACAAAATAAATGGCAAAATAATCCTCAATTCGTTAACAATTTGCAGTCCAATATTTGATATCGCCAGCATTAAAACATTCTACTGCTGGTTGAATTTTTTCGCTTTTATGTCCATTTTTGGCACATTTCAAGCGTAACTTGGGCAATTAGGGCAATGCAATTAGTGAGCTCCAAACTATTGAATAACCAGACTGCGTAGCCAGCAGCAGTTGGCGAGGAAAAAGGAGGAAAACGGGGGCGTTGGGAGAGAGTGAAAAGTGGGCGGGGCTGTGGAAAAGTCGACGTAGAGCAGTTTGCTGAAGAGAGTGCAAGTTTGACCTATAAAACGGCAACGTGGGCGCGCGCTTCACTTGGCACAGATACGTAGCAGTAGCAGTAGCAAAAAAAAAAAAAAAAAGAAAAAAGGGAAATGAAGCCAACACAGCTGTGGCCCAGGCAATGGAAAAGAAAACGTGAGGAAGGTGAGGAAAAGGAAGGAAATTAAAGGAAAAAAGGTTAGGAAAAAAGTAGAAGCCGAAACAGCAACCAAAACCGGAAGAACGAAGCATTGGGGAAAGCATCCTGCAGGCGTAAGCACTATTTTAAAACTAAACAGCCCGCCAGAGACTGACACCGAAAATCCAAAAATGCCACAGATAAGAAAGCACCGAGTTCTTCTATCGGACCTTCACTGTATCTCTTTAGTGGTCGCATGCACACCTGCATCCTTGTGGGTAAGCGTCCTTGCCAAAAACAATAAAGAGCAGGCCCCAAAGGCGAGCGATAAACGCTGACACAGAGAAAGCGCAGAGGAAACCTCGGCAAAACAGGACCAACTGCGCCCATCAGTATGCTACACAAAATATGGAGCACACACAGAAAAAACGGAAGTGTATCGATTGCTCTTCTCTTGGGGCCATTAAATAAATAAATAAATACATTTGATCTAATAACGTTGTGCCAAAATTGTCAATGATTATCATAGCAGCTTTAAAATTAAATATTTAGGACCATTTTCTTAATTTTCATGTTCTACACGATTATAAAATTGACAACCTAATATAAAAACATTAGAATATTATTAAGCTGAAACAACCAATAAAAGTGTTATTTATTGCTGAAATAAAATTCTTTAAATTATCATAATCAGAAACAAAATAATTTTATAATTTTTAAAACCCTGCGTGTAGAGCAACAATTTTTTTGCAGTACAACCAGGAGAAGGATAAGAGTGGATGCAGGATTTTTCCGTAAGCCAGGTGCGGACGACCAGGCCAGACGACCAACTCCCGTACCCTCAGTTGGCCAGATAAGCGTATACAAGTCACATAAGGACAATTAGCCAGCCCAGGCTCAAAGAGTTTAAGAGGCATAACTGCCGACGTGGTTGGGGAATTTAGGAGGGGGCAGGAAAAGCGGGCGAGGAAATCATGTTGATGGCTGAGGCATGACGATGACGTTAAAGCGTACGTGTTGGTGAATAACTTAAAACGAAAGAAAGTCAGTGGGTAAAGATGAACTGAAAACCAAGGGGAGAACAGAGATGGATGGGTGGCAGCAAGTGGGTGAGTGGGTGAGTGTGTGGGTGGTGGGTGGTGGCTGGTCGGCGGGGGAAAGCAAAGGTCAATTGAAGTTGCGGTGCTAAAACTTTGAGGAGGCGGCGAAAGAGCAAGAGTCAGAGGAGGCAAGTCAAGTGGAAAGCGGGAAAGCGCAAAACAGGTTTAAGCACACACATACACACACACACACGTACATCCGAGGATGCACTGACTGACAGTGCGCCGGAAGTGGAAGTGCACCCCCCGCGCCCATCTCCTTACCTGTGCATAAAAAAAAAAAAAATAAAGAAAAACTGCTGGCTGCCTTTCGCCTACATGTTATACAATCCTTGAGTGCGGCGAGCGAGGACGAAGCTTTTGGGTGTCAGTCAAGTGAAAGGAAATTGTAGCACACCAGGGTGGTG